TTCAGATATCTTCTATGAGTCTAAAGGTGTATGCCTGATGAGGTGACAGATATAAACCTGAGTCAAAAAACACCCAGATTTGCAGCAACCCCAAATTTGGCATAAAAGAGAGTTTCATTCAAAGTCACCTATCCCATTTCATATTTGTATTATTTTGGCAATTGAGTTAAGGGAGAATTGCAATTTAGAATTCCAAGACTTCATTTGAAATGACAATTATACTCATGTCACAATAATATTGGATGAATATATGAAATGACTATTAAGATATATGAATTTAGCAGCTGCTATGAATCTTTACTAGGTAAAGGGTAAAAAAAAGACATGTAACAAAATAGACTAATTTTTGCCTTACATGATAGAACAGATATAATAAAACAGAAAACGTTCAATTATAGTAAGTTTTGAGAAGTGCTATGCTTGAGATAGCCTCCTAACATCCCTCACATGCTATTTGTTTCATGACAGTGATCACTTTCTAACAAACCATTAATACATACAGTCATGAATCATTTAACAACAGAGATATGCTCTGAGAAATGTGTCATTAGGCAATTTTGTCATTGTGCAAATATAAGAGTATACTTACACAAATGTGGATGGTATAGCCTACTACCCACACATGCTATATGGTATAGCCTATTGCTCCTAGGTTACAAACCTATATGGCATGTTACTGTACTGAATACTGTAGACAACTGCAATACAAAGGTAAGTATTTGTATATCTAAACATACCTAAACACAGGAGAGAAATGGTAAAAATACAGTATAAAAGATAAAAAATGGTACAAGGGTAAAGGGTAGTTACCATGAATGAAACTTGCAGGACTGGAAGTTGCTGAGTGAGTGTGTGGTGCATGAATACAAAGGCCTAGGACATTACTGTACACTACTGTAGACTTTATAAACACTGTACACTTAGGCTACACCCAATTTATAAAAATTATTTTTATTTCTTCAAACTGTTCAATTAGCCTTACCTTACTGTAACTTTTTTACCTTATAAGCTTTTCAATTTTTAAAAACTTTTTGACTCTTGTAATAGCATATAGCTTAAAATGCACTGTACAGCTGTACAAGAGTAGTTTATAAGCTATCTTCTTAAAAAATTTTTTTTAACTTTTTAAACTTTCTTGTTAAAAACTAAGACACAAACGCACATTAGCTTAGGCCTACACAGTGTCCAGGATGGTATCACTGTCTTTTGCCTCCACATCTGGCCCCACTGGAAGATCGTCAGGGACAATAACACACACAGAGCTGTCACATCCTATGACAACAATGCCTTCCACTGGTTTACCTCCTGAAGGACCTGAGGCTGTTTTACAGTTTGTTTGTTTTTTTAATAAATAGGCATATGCTCCAAAGTAATGATAAAAAGTATAGTACAGTTGGTACATAAACCAGTAACATATTTATTATGATTACAAGTATTATGTACTGTACATAATTTTATCTGTTATACTTTTATATAACTGGCAGCAGAATAGGTTTGTTTACACCAGCATCATTGCAAACACATGAGTAATGGTATCGTGCTACAATGTTATATTGGCTAGAAAGTCACTAGGTGACAGGAATTTTTCAGCTCCAACATAATTTTACAGCAGCAGTCCTCAACACCCCAACGTACTGGTACCAGTCAGTGGCCTGTTAGGAACCAGGCCACACAGCAGGAGGTGAGCAGCGGGTGAGCGAGCATTACCACCTGAGCTCCACCTCCTGTCACATCAGGGGTGGCATTAGAAACTTGGGAGTGTGAACACTCTTTTGAACTGTGCATGTGAGGGATATAGGTTGCTCGCTCCTTATGAGAATCCAATGCCTGATGATTTGAGGTGCAACAGTTTTATCCTGAAACCAAAACCCTGCCATGCCCTGGTCCATGGAAAAATTGTCTTCCACAAAACCAGTCGCTGTGCCAAAAAGGTTGGGGACCACTGTCTTATAGGACCACTGTCATATATATATATAGTCCGTACATATATGGCACATGACTATAATTTAGGTATATATACTGTCCATCCACCCCCACAATATAAATTCCATGAAAACAAGGACTTATTTTTGTCTGTTTTTGATACTGATAGTAGGTGCTCAAAACATATACTGATAAAATGGTTCAGTCATTATCAAAAACACTTTGACAATCAAAAATTAAAAATAGACATTACTGCATGTGTATGTATATGTGTGCATATGTGTGTATATATACACATATATATGAAATTGAAAGTGGGGACTCAGATAGTTGTATACTCATGTTTGTAACAGTGTCACTCGCAATTGTCAAAAGGTAGAAGCAGCCCAAGTGTCCAATGATGAATAAACCGATAAATAAAATGTTTATTCATATATGACATACTTATTATTTGGCCTTAAAAAGACAGGAAATTCCTACACATGCTAACATGGATGAATCTTGAGGACATTACACTAAGTTAAAGAAGGGTCACAAAAGGACAAACAACATATGATTCTGCTTACATGAGGTACCTAGAATAATCAAATTCAGAGACAGAAAGTAGAGTGGTAGACGCCAGAGGCTGGGGGGAAGAGGAGTAGAGAGTTATTGTTTGATAGGTGCTGGGTTTCTGTTTTGCAAGAAGAGTTCTGTGGATGAATCGTGGTGATGGTACCAGAACAATGTGAATGTACTTCATGCCATTGAACTGTACACTTAAATATGGTTTAGATAGTAAATTCTATGTTGTATATTTTACCACAGTTAAACAGATCTATGTATACAGTTGGCCCTCCTTATCCACAGGTTCTGCATCCTCAGATTCAATCAACCTCAGACAAAAAAATATAGTTAGGCCTACTATAGTTGTGTCTGTACCGAACATGTATAGATTTTTTTTCTTATTATTCCCTAAACAATACAGTGTAACAACGATTTACATAGCATTTACATTGTATTAGGTATTACAAATAATCTAGAGTTGATTTAATGTATACAAAAGGATGTAGGAACTTGAGCATCTATGGATTCTGGTATCCATGGTCGGGGGGTTCCTGAAACCAATCCCTCCCAGATATGAACTGTATATAGAATAAATGAGCTACTACTACTAATTTGGGGATTTAAAACTAAAGATAGTAATATATCAGATAAGAATAACACAGAAATTGGTGGACAGTTTGGAGTTCGAGTATTTTAAGATCTTATTTAAGGTTGAGTTTTGTTAAATCTACATATTAAAAATAAAAGGATATTAGCAGAAACCAAACTAGGGGAGAAAAAGGGAAAGGTGAATTTGCACAATAAAAATATATATGTGCAACTATTATATATCAATCAAAAATGTTTAAGGCATAATAAATAGGAAATAAAACATTTTTATCAGCAAAACATGATAAATGCCACTGAATTATACTCACCTATTAAAATAACAGTCCAACAAAATTAACAGATGTAAGCCCAGCAATACGCTCTTTACAAAAAACGGATCTGAAACATAAAGACACAAAGGGGTTAGAAAATAAAATTCTTGACAAATACAATAAAACCTGAAAAGCAATATTATCAGACAAAAGAGAACCGGGACTAAAAGGCATTCACCAGGATAAAGAGGCATGTTTCTTAAGGAGGTAGATTGGAATTTTAGTGCAATTCCTCACCCCCTCTAATAGGTTAAACATTCATACTCTTTGCAATGTAACTTTGTCCTCCAACTGTGGGCATAATTTAATAAGCTTAATCATGTGACTTGTTCTGGTTAAGGCAATCTCTCTTGTGCTCTGGTGACCCATCATGAGCAGAACATGCCCTGGCAGCAAATGTCCTTTTGGCCTGAGACCCAGAAAGAACACCTGTGGAGCAGATCTTAATTCGTCGTGCAGCCTATACACTCAGCCAAGCCCTGCCTAGATCAGCTGCACACAGTGATTGTGCAAGCCTGTGAACATGAGAATAAGGGCTTGCTGTTGTATGGCATTGAGTTTAGGGGTGGTTTTTAGACATACTAACTATCATGGCAATAGCTAACTAATATACATAAAAGCAGCAAGTCGTAACATAATAATGAACCTGAAAAGTTCGCCAAAGAAAACTGGAAAACTACAAAGGGCCAAGGACTTAAGGTGAAAAAAAAAAAAAAGGCAGCAAAGGAGACTAAAGAGGAGTGGCCAACAGGGAGGGAGGACGAGCAGAAAACAAGTACGTGTTTTTCAAGCCGTTACCAACTATGTTAAATGCGACAGAGAAGCAACTCAAGACAAGAACTACTAGACATTACAATCACGCACACTTCGCCACGCTCACACTCACCACAGCCTTAATCACAATCGCACACATCACACATTTCATCATAATCACGCGCAACCAAACATCACAGTCACCCATCACAATTATTCGTGCCGTCACACTCACACACACAACCACAACCTCACACTAACTCTCATCACAGTTTTTTGTCCCAACATCTAAACCACTCACCAGCAGCGTACTCTGAGCACTCCCCCTGCGGCTACTCGGGACATTCTGGGCCTAAGAGGCGCCGCGTCCCGTCAGCCGCCCAAGGCTGGGGCAGTCCAGACCGTTGGAGTCCCTCGCTCGCCCCGCGCTGCGGGGACTCGGTAGCGTCATCTGCCGGAAACGCCCGAATGCCCAGCCAGCGCGCAGTTTCCGAGATGCTGGTCGAAGGCGACCCGCAGATAGGTCCGGAACAGGCGCCTAAAACTCCGAACCATCCCTTCGCGCCCGCGACGTTTCCGAGGACAACACCTCCCAGCAGGCCCCGCGGCCTCACTCAACTTCCGTCCAGAACTCACGTGCGTTTCCTGTGTGAAGTGAGGCGTGGGCCAGGTTCCCCGAGAGACTCAGCTCGATTGCGCAGCGTTGCGGCGACCTGCGACTCTGAAGCTCGGCTGGATGCAAAAGTTGCAGGAGCAGCCGTTTCGGGTGGGCCCAGGCGAGGAGCGGACGGAAATCGGCGTGGGTCCCGCGCTGGACTACATTTCCCAGAGGGCCTGGTGGCCGTTCACTTTTCTCGCAGGAATTCGAGCGTTTCGTCACGCCTGGCGGGACCCTTGGATCTTGGGGGTGAGCTATTTTGGTCGGCGGGAGAAACTGGCCCCGGTCTGCAAGAGCCTAGGTGAGGATACTTAAGGGCAGTGGGGAGCTGGCGCCTTGGTCCTGTGCTGACCGAGCGACCTGAAGGGAGGTTGTGGAATTGTCTGGGAAGTAATAACACTGCGGCTTATGTGCGGGTATGGGATACGTAGGTAACTGCAGGGGTTGTGGCTGTGTGTTCCCGTGGTCGTGTGTGATTGTGACTCTGCGGCAGTGTGGGGTGCCTCCGCCTGTGCAGCTGTTATTGTGTGTTTCCTGTGGTGTGTATGTAACTGTAACTGTGTTGCGGTGTGTAGCTTCGTGTGTGCTGGTGAGAAGTGCATGTCGCCTTAAGTGTGACTGTCCCTAAATGTATGTGGCATTCTGTGTATGAATATAGGGTCCCGTCAACTGTGCGATTGTGACTTCAGAAGTCTGTCTCTAGGAAACCTTTTTTGAGGTCTGGTCAGATTCCAACCCTGGGCAGCAGTGAACAGAGCCTTTCCCCTGAGCCACTGGAATAGGACAGGTTGCCCCATTCTCCTCTGATCTCCATTCCTCGTGTGTCGTGGGGAGGACGTCTTCCTTGACTAATTTGGGTACCAAGAAAAACCTGTTGTCTCACAGTTATTCTTTACTCTCCCAATTTTACCTTTCTCCAGGTGAGTCACCCAGAAGAGGAGGAAGGAATGCATGATGAACTTCTACAAGCAGTATCCAAGGTGTGTTGTGGTCTCCCCTTTTTCTTCTGAAAATTCTTGCTTAATAAAGAAGTGACATTTAATTGTAAGTCCCTATAATTTTCCTGTCACAGAAAAGGATGGTTGTGCCACTTATGCTTGCTGAATTTTCTTCTCAAATATTTATTATGATTTAAAAATAAAAGGATGATTAATTTAGAGATCTTAAAAACACAGCATTACCAAGAAAAAAATAAAATCTGGCCATTCAAATAATTAGTGTTAATATTTTAATGTATTTTCAAAAACCAAATTTTACTTAATTTACTTACCATTTTATGTTCTACATTTGTACTAAAAACGTGTCATAAATATTCTCCCATGTCTTCAAATGGTCTTGGGAAATACATTTTTCTATGTTTGAAAGAACTGTGGTGTATACTTTTTTCAAATCAGACATGCCAGACTTTTAAATTCTTATTTGAATATATATCTGTCCTTACAACCCCCATCCCCACAGGTTTGAATTTGGGTTTCCATGAGTAATAATAAAATTGAACATATACTATCAGTTTTTAGCATTTCATCTTTAGTGACATGTCCGTTCAAATCTTTACTCATATTTCTCTTGGAATAGCTCTTACTGATTTATACGAGTTATTTATGTAATCTGGGTCTCAGTCCTTTATTGATTATGTTTTCCTACTATTTGGACTGTTTGATCACTTCCTATAAGATGATTTTATGATAAGTTCTATTTTTTTAAAAGCTGAGTTTATCGATATTTTTCCTTTATGGTTAGTGATTTTTTTATCTTATTTAATAAATCCTTCCCTGTCCCAAGGTCATGCAGATACTCTCTTATATTTATGCTTAAAGCATAAGTTTCACTTTCATGTTTAGATATTTAATATACTTGCAACTGGTTTGTGTGTATGTTACGAGGTAGGGGTCAGATTCTCCCCCTCCTTATTAGTACCCAGTTTTTTCAGTACCATATATTGGAAGATGCATTGTATTTTTATTGGTCATCAAATATACCTAGTGTCTATATGTACATGGTTATATTTATGAACTCTTCATTCTCTTCCATTGATTTTGTATATTCGTATGCCAGTATCATACTGTCTTGATTTAGCTCTTCTCCTTTGATGGTAATCTGTCTTGTTTTCCTTTGACTGTTCGGTTTTTGGCTTTCTGTAATTTTAGTACTAGATATATATGTGTGTTTTATTTATCTGCTTGGGATTTGTAGAGTATTAAAATTTATGGATGAATATCTATTATTAGTTCAGGAAAATCTTCACTCATTATCCCTTTAAAACCACCCCCCCGCAATCATTCTCTCTCCCTTTGCTTCTCAGGTTCTAACTAAAGGTTTTTAGGTTATAATTTCTTGTTCTTTTTTGTGTCTTATCCCTTTATGATAAAAAAGAACCTTGCCTCATCTCAGGAGGGGCAGTGGGCATGGCAGGCAACTAGAATTTTTGGATTCTTCCTCCAAGTGATAATAAAAATATATTTATTCAATTGTGTTTCAACACTTCTAATCTTGGGGAACTCACTAAATTGTAAGGTTATCCATTTACTAGATCAGGCGTCCCCAAACTATGGCCCGCAGGCTGCATGCGGCCCCCTGAGGCCATTTATCCGGCCCCCCGCCACACTTCAGGAAGGGGCACCTCTTTCATTGGTGGTCAGTGAGAGGAGCACAGTATGTGGCGGCCCTCCAACGGTCTGAGGGACAGTGAACTGGCCCCCTGTGTAAGAAGTTTGGGGACGCCTGTACTAGATGATTGCTTTATCTGAAAATTAGAGGATACATATTAGTATAGACGACTCAGAATAGGGACAGTGTTTTCTTAAAGTGTAAATTTGGAACTCTGGGCCTTCTCTTAATTTTTAAATTGTATGTGTTTGGTACAGATGCAAAGAAAATTAGGATAAGAATAAATCTAACAAACCTATTTTGTGTAAGGCCTTTCTATCTCAATTTCTTTTTTTTTTGAGACTGAGTTTCGCCCTTGTTACCCAGGCTGGAGTGCAATGGCGCGATCTCGGCTCACCGCAACCTCTGCCTCCTGGGCTCAGGCAATTCTCCTGCCTCAGCCTCCTGAGTAGCTGGGATTATAGGCACGTGCCACCATGCCCAGCTAATGTTTTGTATTTTTAGTAGAGACGGGGTTTCACCATGTTGACCAGGATGGTCTCGATCTCTCGACCTCGTGATCCACCCGCCTCGGCCTCCCAAAGTGCTGGGATTACAGGCTTGAGCCACCGTGCCCGGCCTCAATTTCTTTTAAAGAGGACTGAGTCTTCCCTCTCCTGTACCAAAGCCCAAATAGAAAATCTGGTTCCCTTCTCCCTTCAGTCTCTAGTTACACTCATCATTTCTATAGGGAAGATTGTTGCCCAGTATTAATGGGAATAACTAGAGATGTGTGGTATACTGTCATAGACAATAAAATTTAAAAGGAATAATTTTTGTTTTCAGAAGTTAACCTAATATTTAATAGGGAAATATTTGAAACATGTAAATATTTGAAAATCAGAAGTAAAAAAAGGATACCACATTACCAATGTCATTTAACATTGTTTTAGAGCTGTTAACCAAAACGCTTACATAAGAAAAAAATTAGGTTAAAAATTACAAAAGAGGGCATAAGATGATCACTTTATAGATGATATGACTGTGTACCTGAGAAACCAAATCTGCTTATAATCAGCATTTGGAAATAAGCAGGATTCTATATGAAGCAAACAAAAGAAAATTTTTTTCCCTTATAATTTCTGCTCTCAACCCTCTCTGTGGTTAACTTTTTTGTTGCCCTGGATAAAATCTTGTACAGACTATAATTTTTTTTTTTTTTTTTTTTTTTTTTTTGAGACGGAGTTTCGCTCTTGTTACCCAGGCTGGAGTGCAATGGCGCGATCTCGGCTCACCGCAACCTCCGCCTCCTGGGTTCAGGCAATTCTCCTGCCTCAGCCTCCTGAGTAGCTGGGATTACAGGCACGTGCCACCATGCCCAGCTAATTTTTTGTATTTTTAGTAGAGACAGGGTTTCACCATGTTGACCGGGATGGTCTCGATCTCTTGACCTCGTGATCCACCCGCCTCGGCCTCCCAAAGTGCTGGGATTATAGGCTTGAGCCACCGCGCCCGGCCACAGACTATAATTTTTTGATCACTCTTTGATATCCTTTGATAGTTTTCAGTCACAATCTCAGTCTCATTTTACCAATTAAAACCTCTAGTTCAGTGTAATAATATGTGAGTTTCATTTAAAGTTTCTTCTGTGAGCTCAGGCTTGCTTCAAGCTTGCAGTATGAAAGAGGGACGTATTAAGCTTCTTGATTTCCTTGCTCTGAGCTTCTATTTCTCCTGCCTAATAGTTTCTGGATCCTATGAGATTAGAATAGGGATAGGGAAGAGGAGGTAAGGAAAAGAAAAGTCTTCTTGATTTGTTTTGGTGTTGGTCTCCTGTGCCTTGATGGATATTCAACACTCCTTTATGAGGCACCATTAAGGGTTTCTCAGAGAAGCTCTTGTTGGAAACCTCTAATTGCATTTCCTGGGATATGTGCAGCATGTCTCCTTGAAATGGCTACTTATGATATCTGTCACACATTTTTGCATTCTTGATCCATTCCTTTGTTGAAGTCACTTTGTCCCTTTATGGGGTCCACATATAGCCCAAAGCGGGGAATAGGTACCAGTCTTTGTGCCCCCTAAGCTCTAGAGTACACAGGAAAAATTATTCCAAAGTATGTCATCATTCCACTTTGTACCCTGGAGCCTGCTTGTCCTAAGGTGAAGGATAGGTACCCTCATTTCTCCTATCAATTGGGAATGTGTGTCCTTTTTTAAACAACCAATTCTTGGGACACTACTTGAGTATCCTACAATTCAGTTGAATTTGGACACTACCTAGAGTTAACACAGACCCCATTGGTTAGGAGCCTCAGTCCCAGCTGGTCGTCCCAGGACTTTGGGAAGAGATGGGCAGATCACTTGAGGTTAGGAGTTCGAGACCAACCTGTCCAGCATGGTGAAACCCTGTCTCTACTAAAAATACAAAAATTAGCTGGGGGTGGTGACCAACGCTTCTAATCACAGCTGCTTGGGAGGCTGAGGCAGGTGAATCGCCTGAACCTGGGAGGTGGAGGTTGCGGTGAGTTGAGAGTGTGCTGCTGCACTCCAGCCTGGGCGACAAGAGTGAAACTCCATCTCAAAAAAAAAAAAAAAATTCAAGAAATGTTAAAAGACCTGAAAAATGGCAAGGCATTGTCCCACTATCCAGTCCTACTCCCCTTAAATGGCTACTTTAAACTCTTTTTGCTGTTTCTGTTGGCATTTTTCCTATATTTCTAATTAATATTTCTATATTGCTATTTTTGGATACATATTTTCTAGTGATTTCTAGGCAGGCAAATATGGATTGAGATTTCCCATACTGCAGTCCTCATTTTTTGTCCATGCAATAGAGTTATATGACAATTTTTCTTTACATTATTGCTATCCCTGTGATTAGGACTTTGCAGATATTGTTAATGTGAGCCAAGTAAAACAACAGATTCTGGATTTTTTTCTAGTACAATTTGTATTTTTCTCAGAGCAAATTGCCTTATTTCTTTTTTTGCCTGGTTTTATGTATGTGTTGCTATTTTTTTTTCAAATTCTCTAACATTGCTATCAGTTGCCTATCAATATTTTCTACATGATCAAACTTACTAGCTCCTTATTTTTCTTTGGAGACGTCTTTCCTGTAGTCCTCATGTCTTGTGTTCCTAGATGCTGTTCTCTCACTCTGCTGTCAGATAATGTTCTAGGATTTGCCTTATATAATTATACTGGCACTTGGATCACCATTTTCATGTTAGTTTTGTAGTTTCTTAATATAATACCTTCTCTTTTTTCTAATTTACTGTCTAGTTTTGGGGGTTTTTTTTCTTTTTCTTTTTTTTTTTTGCATTATGAGAAAATATATTCTCTAGTTTTGACGGAAAATGTAGCCCAGTAGCTTCCTAAGAAAAGCCACTTTGGAAATACTTTTATTATTCCCTGCAGATCTAAAATTGTCTTGATTTAATCTTCATAGTGGTTTAGTAATTTGATTGGATATAGAATTTTAGGTCAGAATTCGGTTTCCTTTATAATATTAAAGGAATTGCTTTCTTTTTTTTTAATTTCAAATGATGCTATTGAGAAATCTATTGCCATTGTGATTCCTGAAAACTTAGATGATCTTTGTTTTCTTCCTGGAAGCTTTTAGAGATGTTTATTTTTGTCTTCCTCTGATGTTGTGAATTTTTACTCCGTGTATTACAAGACGTGTTTGAAAGTCCCTCCCATTTTCCCCTCTCTTGGGACTTATAAAGGGAAAGGGGGAGGGGGAAGAAACTCACTAATAGAGCTGAATGCTTGCTATTTCATATCACTGGAAAAGTCCAGTCTATTTGTACATCCCTTGTACAGAGGATATATATAAATTCTGATATGATAGGATCCACCTCCTTTAATTCATTTACTGTCTCCTTTCTTGCAGAGGCTTCTTTCACCTCTACCACCATCTTTGTCTTTTTTCCTTTCATTGTGAAAGCTTATTTGTTGTTTCAGGGGTCAGTGATGTTCAGGGATGTGTCCATAGACTTCTCTGAAGAGGAATGGGAATGCCTGGACTCTGATCAGATGAATTTATACAGAGAAGTGATGTTGGAGAATTTCAGCAACCTGGTTTCAGTGGGTAAGGATAACTATCCCCCAAAATTCAGAGTCTGCCCTTGGAAAATCTCTCCTTTCTCCACTGTGAATTATTTGCTTCATGTAACCAGCTGAATTTCTGCTCCCTATTCCCCAAGGAATGGTCTGAGTTGGAATGGAATGGAAGAGTTGGAAGTGGGCAGTTCTAATGGACTGTGGCTGAAGCTTCATCTTCTCCATCTTTCTCTGGTCCTTCTTATAATGGCATCTCTTCTTTGATCACCAAGAGACTGGATCTGATTTCTGGGGAGCCCACAGCATAACCATGTCTCATGTCTTTTCTTGTGAGCAGGACTTTCCAGTTCTAAGCCAGCTGTGATATCCTTATTGGAACAAGGAAGAGAGCCCTGGATGGTTGACAGAGAGTTGACTAGAGGCCTATGTTCAGGTAAGTAAGAGATGATGGCTCAGGCCCAGGGTTATGAGGAGACATACATCTGAGATTTTATCAAGAAGCTCTCTTTAAAGGCCTGAGGCCTCTTCCGTATAAGCTATCCTACCTTTTTATCTTCATACTTTCTCCCTAGTCCGATATAGCAAGTACCTTCGTGACTGTAATTATGCTATAATTATTTTACTCACATTTTAGGTTTCATTCCTTCTATGATATGCTACATTTAGACTGGTATGAAAGTAGACATTTCCACCCTAAGAAATAAATGAGTGTAAGTGTGTGTGTGTTTGTGTGTGTGTGTGTCTTTTCTTTTTCCTTCCCTATACTTGTTTTCATGTTAACTGCTTCCAATTATTTAATGTCTTTGACCAGTTCATTCTGGATTTAATAGTTCTTTCTTTCATTTATCAAACATTTGATTACTTTTTACTTTAAAAAAAATTGAAGTATAACATACGCACAGAAAACTACTTGACTATGATTGCATAGAATGGTGAAATTGAGAATGGCGAAACTACTACTGAGGACAAGAAATAGAACATTACTAGCACCTCAGAACCCCTCTTCTGTTCCTTCCCAATCACCAGCCTCTTTTTCCTCTCCAAAATAAATACCATCCTGATATTTAGCACCATGGATTTGTTTTGCCTATTATTGAACTTTATATAGATGCAATCACACAGTATTTAGTCTTTTGTCTTTGGCTTTTTTTGTTCAACATGTTTATGAGACATATCTATGATGTTGCATATTATCTGGTGTTAGTTCATTATTATTGGCTATGTTGTATTTCATTCTATATATATCTATATATCTATATATATATCCGTATATATATATATATATTTTTTTTTTTTTGAGATGGAGTCTTGCTCTGTTGCCCAGGTTGGAGTGCAGTGGTGTGATCTCGGCTCACTGCAACCTCCATCTCTCAGATTCAAGCAATTCTCCAGTCTCAGCCTCCAGAGTAGCTGGGACTATAGGCTTGCGCCACCACGCCCAGCAAATTTTTTGTATTTTTAGTAGGGACAGGATTTCACCATGTTGCCCAGGCTGGTCTCAAACTCCTGACCTCAGGTGATCCACCCCACCTCAGCCTCCCAATGTGCTGGGATTACAGGGCGTGAGCCACCGCACCCTGCTTCATTCTATGAATATATTTTAAATTATGCTTTATATATTATTAATTACTATAAATTAAGTGTCTTTTCTACTGTCGACAGCTGGTTGTTGGCAGTTTTTAGCTATTACATATAATGCTGCTGTGAAGGTTCCTGTATGTAACTTTTGGTAAATGTGTGTACACATTTCTTTTGGGTATATACATAGGAGTGGAATTACTGAGCAATAGGATATGTGTGTGTTCAGCTTTAGTAAATATACCAATTTTCCAAAGTAGTTTTACCAATCTGTAGTTCTACTAGCAGTATGAAAGTTGCCATTGCTCTGCATTCTTACATTCTTACCAGTTCTTATTATTGCCAGACCTGTTAATTTTAGTTATATTTTAGTTACTCTGATATGTATGTGTTCTGTGACATGCCTGTTTAAGTTTCTTGGCTAAACTTAGTTGGTCGTCTTTTTTTTTTTTTAATTGCTTTGAAAGAATTCTTTTTATATTATATATATTAGCCCTGTGTTATAATGATGTAAATATCTCCTACCACTTTATATCTTGCCTTTTATTCTTTTAATGGTGTCTTTTGATGAACAGAAATTATTAATTTTAATGTGGTCACAGTTATCTTTTTCTTTATAGTGTTGCTTTTTTGAGTCCTGGGTAGGAATGATTGCCTACCCAAAAGTCATGAAGATACTTCCTATGTTATATTCTAGTAGCTTTATTGTTTTACTTTTTCCATTTAGATCTAGCTTCCTGAAGTTGGTATTTGTAGTGTTGTGAGGTAGGGGTCAAATTTCATTTTTCTCCATGTGAATATCCAGTTGACTTCTTAGTATTTATTGAGATGACTGTCCCTTTCCCATTCTCTGTAGGACTACCTTTGTCATAAATCCTGTGTCTGTGAGTCTGTCTCCCAATTTCTGTTCCTTTGGCTTATTTATCCTTGTGCCATCGCCACACTATATTAATACTGTAGCATGTAATAAATCTTATCTAGTAGAGCAAGTTCTCCTGCTGCTTCTTAATCCTTTGCATTTTCATTATAAATTTTAGGATTAGGCTGGCCACAGTGGCTCACACCTATAATCCCAGCATTTTGGGAGGCCAAGGCAGGTGGATATCTGAGGTCAGGAGTTCGAAACCAGCCTGGGCAACAACATGGTGAAACCCCATCTCTAATAAAAATACAAAAATTAGCTGGGCTTGGTGGTGAGTGCCTGTAATCCCAGCTGCTTGGGAGGCTGACGCAGGAGAATCGCTTGAGCCTGGGAGGCGAGGTTGCAGTGAGCTGAGATTGTGCCATTGCACTCCAGTGTAGGGCTATTGGGCCCCACAGGGTCGTGGGGTGTCCCTTATGCTCTGCTGAGGTGCAGGATCCAAGAAGTAAAGAGATATTACACTGAAGAACTGGTGATGAGCAGCTGGACTCGAGGGGCCATGCAACCTGTGAGCAGAGATCAGCGAGAGCCCCAAATGCCCAGAACCATCTGTATTTATTAGGTACAAGCAGGGGGCAGGGTTGTGAGTGAGGTCATCATCTATAGGCTTAGTAATAGGGCATACATAATCACATGAGTCACAAGCAAGGAGGCCACCCCTTTATGTCACCTGGGCAGAGAAGTGGGCCGTGCGCAGTGGTGGGCTGTGCCATGTGTGGTAGTAGAGGGTCGTGTACAGAAAAGGGGTCCACCCCCATTAGGTCACCAAGGCAAGGAGGTGGGCTGTGTGCAACAGGTGTCGTGTGCAACACTTATCTGGGGACTGGCGACATCAAAGGATTTCTAATAGAAGGATGCTATAAGCCAGTGCAGTGGGAGCTGACAGACTTGTGCTCTTCTCTTAAAATATTTATGGGAGGGTGATTTGAGCTAGCACAGAAGTGAGAAAAGACTGACAGGGTGTACAGCCTCCGTGACTGGTCACGCCAGAGGGGTTCTTCTCCCTCAGTTATTTCCAGGATTTCAGGCGTGAGGCCTGCTTTCCATAGGAACTGAATGCAAGGTACTACAATTCCTTTATCAGGAGGAGAGGGTCTTGCTCCAAGCCTGCCATACAGCTTATGCCCTTTCAGGCAGGGACGCCACTGCCTGGGTCTTTGGTTTTTGTCCTGGTCTGGCTGTTTTCCCTTGTACTGCTTCTGTTCTGTGACTGCTCTAGGCATTCCTTCTACTACAAACTACTATATTGGTTATATGGAAGGATTATATAAATCAGCACTAAATGTGTCAGTATAGCTCCAACTACAATACCTATGATTGTATAGAAAGATTATATAGAACTAAGTATGCTAGATAGAAGTATTAAGTATGATTATATAAGCTAGATATATGTAAGCAATAAGTTATACTTCAGGCACTAATTCTATAAACTAATATATGATTATATGTAAAGGATTATATAAAGGAAATAGCTGAGTAATAACACTGTAAACTAAGATATTCTTCAGGCACTCATTGTGCCTGGGGTCTGGACAGTTCTCCTTCCTTGGTGCTGATAGAGGATGTTACCCACACTCCAGCCTGGGGGACAAGAGCAAAACTTGGTCTTGTCCAAGTATATAGAGTTATTTCAAACTTAATCAAAGCACCAAGTTATATTTTTCATTAGAATATTACTATTAGTTTGTGGAGAATTAAGATTTTTAAATAACAAGTCTTGTAAAAATGTTTGACTCTAATTCTGTACAGTAGTCTGCTAGGTGCTGTACAGTTTATAAAATATGTAGGCTTATTAAGAAACGTCATCTAATGTAGGAGCTGGGACATGGCTGTAAATAATTTCTACAGAGTAGATTCATCAATGAGAAGATCAAATAGGAAGCTCAGAAGAAAGTTGTAAAACAGTCAAAAATATGGAAGTAGAAATTGATCCAAGTAGAAGTTAATGGTTGGAGCCCTAGAAGTACATGTTGTTACCTATGGAGTTAGCGTTGGAAATAGAAGATCCATGCCTCCCTTGAGAAATAATTCTAGATTTAACAAAGCTGTAGGAACCTAGGCAGGAGTTTGTGAATCTTCACTTTTTCCCAGCTGTCAATTGATCTTAGCTGCCTTTACGTATTTTATTTCTGTTTCTCTTACCACTTTTCCTCCCTACCAACTTGCTAATTTGCCCTCTTCGTAATCTTACCTTAACCTTGTACCTTTCTGCTTGAAAGGTGGTCTCTGTTTATTCCTTTTTCATTTTAAAATAACTAATTTAATTTTCATTAAAGTAATATATTTTGAAATCATAGTATTATCAAAAGATATCAAAATAGTACAAAGTACAATACAAATGAAATTTGTATGTCCTGTTACCTACTTAAATTTTGAATAATATGTTTTGTCATTTTGTGATACTTCAAACTGTAAAAGTATTTCTTGATGTCTGGTTCTAATAGTTGAGGGTTGGTCTCTTATAATCACCATATGTATCCTGAATATAGCAGTATTTGTGTGTTTGAAATGATAGTATTATAAAGCTTATATTGAAAAACAGCAGCCCAGGCCAGGCGTGGTGGTTAACACCAGTAATCCCAGCACTTTGGGAGGCTGAGGAGGGCAGATCACTTGAGGTCAAGAGTTCAAGACTAGCCTCCCCAACATGGTAAAACCCCATCTTAACTAAAAATACAAAAATTAACTGGGTATAGTGGCAGGTGCCCATAGTCCCAGCTACTTGGGAGGCTGAGGCAGGAGAATCACTTGAACCCAGGAGGTGGAAGTTGCAGTGAGCTGAGATCATGCAAATGCACTCCAGCCTGGCAACAGAGTGAGACGCCATCTCAAAAAAGAGAAAAACAGCAGCCTGCTTTTTTATTATACATTCCTACCCTGACTGCCCCAGTCTGTCTCATTAAAGACAATACATTTTCAACTCTTACTTTCAT